TTGATTCAACTTGAGCCTAGTAAGGCTTATATTTTGTAGAGTGATGCGTCCCATACCGAATTGGGATGTTTACGGATTAGGATGTTTACTTATATAGGATGGAAAGGTAGTGTCCTATGCATCTTGTTAGTTGAAGACTCATTAGTGTAACTACCCTACCCATGATCTTGATTTAGCAACTTTGATTTTTGTCCTTAAGATCTGGCGACATTATCTTTATGGTGAAAAGTGTTACATATTCACGGATCATAAGAGTCTAAAATACATCCTCAATCAAGACGAGCTTAACTTGAGACAACGCCAATGGTTGAAATTGTTTAAGGATAACGATTTTGAAATTATCTCCTAATCAAGGTTATTATGGTCACCAACTCCTTGAGCCGTAATGATATTTCAGATATGAGTGCTTTATTTACTGGGATGAGTTTGTATAGGGATTTTACTCTCTTGGCGGAGTTACGTGTAGTCCCTACTCTCATTTCCAAGATCTGTGTGGAGTAACATAACGATCCATTTTTGATTCACCGAATGAGGGAAGTTGAAAGTGGTGCATATCATGATTTTACAACTAATTGGGATTGTATTTTGTGTTTCAGAGGTCGGTATTGTATTCCAAGTAATTTTGGATTGAAGCAAGTTACACTTCAATAGGCACATGATAGTCTATATTCTATGCATCCTGGTGGGGACAAGATGTATAGGAAATCTTTGATAGGGGTATTGGTGGAAAGGTCTTAAGAGGGTATCATCAGGTTTGTGTTTAGATCTTTGACATGTCAGAAGGTGAAGGTGGAATATCACTTTCCATCTAGGTTGTTATAGTATATTGAGATTCCGTTATAAAATTAAGAGTGTGTAACTATGAATTTTATTTCGGGTCTTCCTTTAACTCTATCAAAAAAGAATCTATTTTGGTCATTATCGATTTTCTTGCCAAATTTGATCATTTTATTCTGATTTGGGTCTATTATTATTTGAATAAGTTGTCTCAACTTTATATTGTTGAGATTGTTCAACTGTACGGGATACCATTATCCATCATTTCATATCGTGATCCGAGGTTTACCTCAAAATTCTGGAAGTTTTTGTATAGTACCATTGGTACTCAATTGAATTACAATACTTCGTATCATCTGTAGATTGATGGTCAGTCAGAGTAGGTGATTTAAATTCTAGAAGACATGTTGAGAGGTTTATTGTCAATTATAAATGCAACTGGGAGGAATTTTTAATGTTGGTAGAGTTTGCTTACAATAATAGTTTTCAAATCAATATTAAAATGGTTATGTATTAGGCACAGTATGGATGTAAGTGTTAGACTTCGATTGGTTGGTATGAGCTTGTTGAGATACTAACTAGGTCCACATTTGGTTTTTGAAGTGAAGCAGAGTTTCAGGATGATTTGAGGTAGACGTGAGGTTTCTTTTGATAGACATAAATCTTACTTCGATCTGAAATGTCGGGATATTGAGTAGCAGTAGGTGATGAAGTTTTCTTGAAAGTATCTCCATGGAGGAAGGTACTTCATTTTGGCCGGAGAGGCAACCTGAGTCCTCGTTTTATTGGGTCTTATAAGATTATTCGTAGTGTGGGACCATTTACTTATCAGCTTAAGTTGCCACCCCAACTTGCACGCATTCATGACATTTTTCATGTTTCCATGTTAAGACATTATAGAGTCGCCTCGTTTCACGTAATAGATGTGAATAAGGTAGAGATCATATTTGATTTGAGGTTTGAGGATGAGCCAGTTAAAATTCCCGAGAGGGGTGAGAAGTTTCTCTAGAAGAATACCATAAAGATAGTGAAGGTTTTGTGGAGTAACCGAGGCTACGATCAGTTCACGTGAGAGACTGAAGAGGTCATGAAAGCTTAATAAATGCATCTTTTAAAATTTTCTTTAAGGGGGAAGAATTGTAACACCTCAAAAATTCCCTAATTTAAAACCCTAGGATTTGGGAATTTCCCCCCAAATTTCTAAATCAAACACAGTGAACAAATTGAAAAAATGGTAAAGTTGTAGAACGTTTCATAATCGCTATAAAATTTGAGGATTAAATCTATAATTTGACCAATTTGTATTTGATTTCAATCCTAACTCTAGCAAATAAAACACGAACGACCGCTCTCTTTCATTATTTTCCCTTCTTTCTTCTTTACACCGCGTTGCTCTCCCTCCATCGTCATTCCCTAGCCGCTGGTCGTTCAAGTTAGGCCACCAGTGAGAACCACCCTTTTTCCATCGCGATTCACTACTAGGCGAGTTCGAAAGAACTTCGTCAGTTTTCTCTCTTGTTTAACAGAATCGGAAGTAACTTTCTTGCCATCACGTAACCGTCGTCTTAGCAATTCACAGCTGTTGTGGCTTCCGGTTGGTCGCACACTCGCCATGGAAGGCCTAACTGGCCTAGGTCACAGCTGAACAACATTGGTTTCTCCATGGAAGCTCCTACCGTCTGTTGCCACCCCTTTAATGTTGTTGTCAACCGTTTAAGGCCACGACAAAGCCAGCCGTGAGGTCATTGGTCCTAAGGACTGCCGTCGATGTGCTTCTATCGCTGACACTCTCATTTCACCCAATATGACAGTCCCCTATATTCGAACCAAACCTTATTGTCAATTTTCGATTTGAACCGAAAATTATTTTATTATCGTCGTTAATTATTTCTTTAATATGAAATTTGATATATTGGGATTTTTGAAGTGGATGTCGTAATTTTTGCAGGAGAAATTGAACTAACTCGTGGTGCTCTTGTTGATTGTACATTTTAGTTGACATTTTTAGTACGATTGGCGTTGACGTTTTTTAGAATATTAATTTATGTATTAAATTATTTTGTAGGAACAGATTCGGGTCGATCCACTACTTGAGTTGATCGTGGAAGATGTTACGATCTTCGTTAATCATTTTTGTCGAGTTGTTTTTTTTATCTCGTGCTATATATGTTATTTGTTAATTGATTGACTATTTGAAATTTTTTTGAAGTATGAATGTGTTGTTAAATCACTATATTAAATGCAATTCAGATTAATATATTATGTGACATACGATAATTTTTTGTTTCTGAATTTATGCTATGCTTTTTGACTTTAAATTTACGTAAAAAATTTACATTCAGATCGGATTAGAATTCAAATATTTTATCATGTTGCCATGTCATACTAGGTTAGGATTAATAGGGAAAGTTCAGTGTATTCACCAGACGGGGAGAATTTCACTTCAGATTCAATGGGCTTCTACCATTGTGATAGACCCCACTTCGAATGGTGTTAGCAAAGAATGATTATGGGGAATATACTCTTTAAATGGTGTAAGGTGTATGGGTGCATGTTCATTCATATATTACTTGGACTGTGAATATATCTTTTTGAATCAGATTGTGTTTGATTTGTGAACATTGCACGTTAGCTACACACTAAGCTTAATTGCTTACACTCTTCTTATTTTTCTTTTAGATTCTCGATTTTAAGTAACCTGATACTTAGAGAATTACACCGCTTTTCGGATTACATTATTATTCATAGTATGGAGTTTTACTCGGATATTCTATTTCGGATTTTATTAGTGTTTCTATTTGGGTAATTTTTGTTACTTATACTTATTTCGGAACATTGGACGTTATATTTGATTTGGACATGGGATAATTGATTTGGCATTATTATACGTTTGCAATACAATTTATTTTATTAATTGATTTATTTTCAGATATTGCTAGCTTTTGAAATCAATAAATGTGAGAGATATTTTCAATACGTTTTAATAACTTTTAGGTTAATTTTGAAAAACATGTTAAATGGACCTTCTGGATCCGACCTATTTCTTTTAGGTCGGGTAAATGAGTTACAAATTTCCTTTCAACTGGGAATATCTTGACCAAAAATTAAAACGTTATGAACTAAAATACTCAAAAAATAATGATCAAAATAATCATTTGTACATAATTGAGAATAATTTTATTGTTACGCTTCTAAATTTTCAAAGATTATCTATCTTATTTCTGTATCCAAAGCAAACTTTACAACTATAACCAAAGTATTAGCTCAAATTGCATGAATGTTGGAAAGAATCGGAATTTGAGAGTTTGGGAGAACTTTAACAATCAGCCACATTTAGGAATTTCTGTTCTTTTCAATCTTGCACGGAGACACAGAACAATCAAACAAAAGAAACATATGGTAAATTTAGAACAATTTTGAAGAGGTTATAACACAAAAATAGACAATAAAGAAGTAGGCTTCCATTTCATAGTGGTCAAAGAAAGATTCATGTAACTGGTACAAGATGCTTGCTGTTCTTTCCTTTTGGTTTAGTCCGCTTATGGGCACCTCGTGTCAGGGGTAGAAGATATGCTCCTTAATGCGTACAAGCATGGTTCTGAATGGAACACACACTGACACTGTGGCATCCATAGGTGTGCAAAAAATTTGATTTGATTAATCTAATCCGTCAATCCAATTTGAAAATTTATATATTTAATCTATTTTTATTTTTGGATAATTTAAATCAGATATAAAAAATATAATCAAAATAAATACAAATCACCTAAATTATAATTTCGAATTATTCAAAAATCCAATAAAAATTTTGCCATTAGAGTTTAAACAGCCTCTAGCCCAAAAAAATGAGTAACTCAATAACCCTTTAGTCCAAAAAACTTTATGGTTTTTTAATTGTTTATTGTGTGTGAAAAATTAAATTTAATAAATAGAGAGAATATAATAGATGTATAGAATAATGTTCATAAAGTCACAAAATATAAAATTAAATCTGGTTTTTTGTTAAATTAAGTTTTATGTTCGGATTCAAATATTAGAAAAATCTAATATTCGATTTTTTCATATCATATGCTAATCACATTTTGGGCCATAGTATTCTTGGATGAGACCTTTCCTGCCTAATTTTTTAGGCTCAAAATCGTTTGGAAGCCGATAAAATAAAATATACCCAGAACTGGCCCAAAAGCCAACCAAGGCCGAGCCAGCTTAACCTTTAAATAGTACAGAAGAGAGAGCGTCACAGTGAGACAATAACCATCCATAAACTCAAACCATTCTATCCTCACAACAGACCACAACAATGTCTACGTCGCTCTCACTCTCAAACTTCTTCTCCTTCCTCTTACCTTCCACTCCTTCTCCACCCAAACCCTCACTTATCAACAACCTTTCACTCCTTTCCCAGAAACCCAAAAATGGTCTTGTTTCATTCTCAGCTCAAGAGCCTCAATCTTCTTCATTATCCACTGAATTGTCATCTGTTATATTCCCTTCTCTTGCTAATGCAAATACACTTTTCTTCAAATCTGCTTATAATATTCAGGTTATTGTGGATGACAATGAACCTGAAGAAAGGCTGCTTAACAGGTTCAGAAGAGAGGTCATGAGAGCTGGTGTCATTCAAGAGTGTAAGAGAAGGAGGTTCTTCGAGAATAAGCAAGATGAGAAGAAGCGTAAGTCACGCGAGGCTGCTAAGCGTAATCGTAGAAGGTAAAAATTTTGCTTTTTTCCTTTTTCGGTAGACCGTGTAAAGATAATGAGGAAAAGAAAGGAACTTTGGATGCTATGTATGGTATATGTTTAGGCCTTTTTGTTTGAATTTGTGTGATTGAGTAGCATTTGGCTTTTGTTTTAGATTTGAAAGTTTGGGTTCTGTGGGTTTTACTGAGGCAAGGAAGATTTGAGGGGAACGGAAGATAAAGACCGAAGCTACATTCTAAGATTAGACAGTTTTAACTTCCATGGTGGAGCTTGGAGGAAAGAAAGGAAAAAAATAGAAAATCAATGCGAAGATAAACAAACCCAGGAGTTCTGGATTCTGTGTGTTTTTTATGAGTTAAATGCTGATCACAAGTTGAATTTGTTGGATATTTGTGTCTTGATCATAATAATAAGTTGAAGCTGTGTAGTTGTTTTGGGTTTGATTGCAATGTTTTATGAGTTAGCTGCTTTTGTTTTCCTTTGCGCATAGCGTTTGGTTGGGCTGCTACCCCCCAGTAATTGTCTTTTGAATATGGTTTTTGAGGAGTCACTTCATTATATCGAACAAAGGCTTCAACTTTGACCTTGTAGAGTAGCCTTTGAGAAAGGTATATTTTCAAGCCGATCATAGGCATATCATCAATGTGCAGTTTTTGAATACGTAACATACTTGGTGTAGTTTTATTTGTTTCTTCAACATTTAAATCCTTCATGAACTAGTTAGGCCTTGCCTTTTTTCTTGTTTTGGTTCTTTTTGAGTTGATGCTCAATTTTTCAATCCTTTTGTCTTAGTTTAAATGATAGTCAGTCTGTTTTTTGCCATATTCTGTGGTCCAATTTTTTTCCCATTAAGTAAAAAAATGCTAATACCTGTTACTAAGGCAGATTCTGTTTTTGTTCTTTAGAAGGTCATATATTGTTGAAGTAATTAGTAGTGTTTAAGAAAGGTATATCTTCAAGCCGACTATAGGCATATTATGTCTGATGCAGTTTCTGAATCTCAATTGAATATGTTGCATAGTTGTTGTAGTTTTATTTTTTTCTCCTGCATTTACATCCTCCATGAAGTAGGAGGTCTTTGGTTTTTCTTAGTTGAATGTGGAGTTCAGTGTTGAAATTGAATCTTTTTATCTCACTTCGGAGTAACATTCATGTTTTCCGCTATGTTCTGTGGTCCAAATTCCGTTATGTGAAAATTGCTAATCCCGGTCACAGCAATCAAGAATATGCTGTTTTTCTTTCTTTAGTTGGTTATATCTGGTTGATATTAATTACTGGTGACTATATCTTCTCTCATGCAAATATGATCAGGCGTCCTGGGTTTAGATTTTCACCGCCAAACAAGCAGGAAATATCTACAAAGAAGAGGGATGAGGATGATGATGATAACTGGGACATGCCAGATGGAGACGTTCCCAATTGATCGCATTTTACGATGCCTTTTATTTACTAATCTTTGTCTTTGAGCTTTGGCACTTTTGTCTGTCCATTGTAAGTTGAATTAGGATGAATATTGTCACTTGAATTGCTCTATGCATATTTTTTTGCATAAATGAAGTAAAGATTGTAATTTCTTAATTGATCTGAAGGCTTTAATGCATTATCATGTTTTTTCCAGACCTATAGGAAAGGTAACTAGTGATGGATATGTGGGAAGCTTATCTCTGTTTCCCCTTTTCAGATTACCACTTCGAGTTGCATAAGAGACGACTGGTTACACATAGTAGTTTTGGTTTAGTGTTTAGAATCCAGGAGTCTTTGTTCGGTTTAGTGAATATATATATATATATTTGTTTTCGAGTTGATCAGACAAGCGATGTATGGTATGGAAGTGATAATCAAACTGGGTAAAACTCTCTTATGAGAAACATTATGCATGAAAAAGGTACAGTCATTCAAAGATCAAACAGATGTGCACTTACTGTTCTATTAGTAGAAGTAAGCAAAATGGCAAAAGTTCTTTTGCGGACAACTTTAAATGTTTTAGTCAAAACAAACGACTGGCAACTTTTAAAACAGTTATTTTGCTGTTTAGAATATGAAATGCGACCTTACTGCTACAAAGGATACAATAGTTTAGGTATACAGAAAGACATGTTGGATATCCCCTTTTAAGAACATGAAAGGTTGATTGTAGTTGTTATATTTTTATGGTTTAATTATGAACGTGGATTTTTTTTTCTTTTCATATTGGTATTTCAACTTAGTTTCATGATTAAATCAATTTAAATAAACCATTTGACATAAGCATCAATTTGGATAAAAAACAACTTCGAGTAACAATTTGAAATAAGAAGTTCAATTCATGTACCTAATCAAACTAAAAAATAATTTAGGTGCCAAATTGAATCTTAAAACAAAATCCTTATTTATCATGTCTAAAACCACTTTTGCGGTGGCCCGAGAAAAAAACTTAAATCCTTGACAACTCATCAAAATATGGAATCATTGGTTGTTTTAAGCTACATACGAAACAAATACTTTCTAAGTATATGCCTAACATCAAGATCAAAACAGGATTCGAGAATCAATTATATGCGAAAAAGATTAAAGTACCCTAGGACGACCAAAATTACTACCTCTAAAAGAGTTGAATATTATTTCGTTTTGTAAAATAAATGGAAATTGTAGTAGAGATAATAATAATAACTTATAATGCTTAAAATAGATAGTTGACGAACGAATGAACGAACGAAGGAATATGTTAGGACAAAACTACAAGAAAGTAGAGTTATGAGGGTCGAAACAAAATTTATTCTATAAAATACGACTAAATTAAATCAAATAAAAATATTAAAATAATCAAAACAATAAATAATTAAAATAAAAAGGATCAAATTATAAAAACAAAAGGGCATAATGATTGAAATGGTAATTTACTAAAAAATGCAAAAAAGTGTGAATCCAATAGATCTAGATCAGTCTGGGGTCGGATCTTGAAAATTATATTGTTTTAATGTTTAAACAATTCTTTCAAAACAACTTTCACTTGCGGCTTTAAATAGCTCTTTTAACTTCCCCCAACTTTTCCTTCTTTTCCTTTTGCTCTCCCTAGTCCATTTTCTCTCAGCCTTCTATCCAAAATTTGGTCAATCGACTGTTGATATCTGTTGCTTGCAGTTATTCATCGTCATCAGTCGGTCGTTAATGGTTAAATGTGTAACATCTTACCCGAGATCGATTGACTAGAGTATTACATGGCACACAAAAGTGTCTAATCCAAAGTTTTCGTTTTTAAAACATTTAAATATAATCGATTAAAATCATAACTGGAAACATAAATATTTTAGTTTGCAAATGTGGGGAGCCACCAATGCATCCAAAAAAATACATATCAAGTATTTCAAAAATAGAATTGCGACCCGATTATATGAAGGTTTATAAATAGTACATGCACTCTAAAAAGACTCAAGAAGCGTACTCTGATGCCTCGACGAATCTGAAATCACAAACAATCGATAAGCTCCTTGATAGATCTCCTAAAAACATGCGCACGGAAACAAATTTTGAATGTTGAACTCACAAACTTAGTATCACATATCACATCAATAATTGTATTGTATTATTTGTATTTACTATATGAGCATGTTGGTATGGAAATGAATGAACATACATGAACACTAACATATAAAGTTGAGGTAAGCATCATGGTGCGGTCGGAGGGTCTACATCTCGGGATGCACACCCCTCTAGCCTACTTATGATACTTGTCGCAACGTTTCCTAACAAAATAAAAATAGTACGAATTTTATGAAATGATAATGTAAGTCGCCATCGACCTTTGGGTTAGGTAGGTCGAATACCTAAAAACGTCTTTTAAAACAATTTTAAGAAAAATCATTTTTAAAGACAAAAACTATTATGCGTTAACCAAATATTCGTTTTTAAGAGCTCGGGAGTCGGTTACTTGTGGGGAAGAGTAAACATCCCCACATCGCCCAAACTTAAAGTGGATTCAAGTCGAAATTTAAAGTGTGATTCTTTTATCTAACATTAATTCATTTCATCATTTTTTATCAAAGCATACTCGATTGTTTCAAATTCACTTCTCGTTTTAATGTCGTATTGAATATTGCTACCTCTACATGTTGCACTTTTCATGCCCATTTTACAAAATGCGTTCTTGAAAATTGATACGAGTACACATAAAAAAATTGGCGCATAAATGGAGCATGTTGTAATTTTCAAAATAATAACTCTAAAAATGTAAAATATATAAAATAAATATATACATATATTTAAAAATAAGGGTTAGAAATGGAACAAACAAATAAATAAAGAAACTATGCATATACATACATATATAAAATCTCAAGACTAGCTCTAAAAGTTCTAAAGTTTTGGGACTAAACTTAAAATATAATTATTCTAGTAAGGGCTAAATCAAAAGAATTCTAAATTTAAGGGTTTTCCTAAATTAAAGTACCTAAATTTTAAAATAAAATAAAAATAAAACCCGATAAACAGATTACACAAACAATGCAATATTTAAGGTAACATTAAAAAAATTGACAGATTGATTTAATTGCTAAGATATAATGACAAATTAATCAAAGAAAACTACAATTAAGAAAACAAAAGAAATAAAAAAAAAAGGAAAGAAGTCACACATATAAGGAAACAAAGACAAAATTAAGAAAATGGAATCAAATCGAGATAATCGAACAAGGTCAAAATTAAAATTAAAATGAATCACACTCAAATCACAAATAAGCCAACATGAGCATTAAAATAAACATAAAGCAATGTCCTTAAATTAAAAGCAAATCAAACAGTTATCGGAGTGTAAATTGCAACAATAAAGAAATTAAAATTTAAATACATTAAACAAAAGGACTAAAATAAAATAAAATGAAATGCAGTGACAAAATTAGGACTAAATAAAATAAAAAAAATAAGATATCGATTCATAAATGAATGAAAATAGTGAATCAAATTCAAAGAATTAAAAAAACTCTAGGGACTAAAATACAAAAACACGGCTAACTATGGATGGCCTAAATGCATATTTACCATTACTTTTGGCTATATAACCTACTTTTTTTTACTCATTTTATAACCCTAGCTAAAAAATTTTTGGACATTTTATAACACCCAAAACTCGTATGCGTCTCGAGATACGAGTTAAAGATGCTATATCAACGTTTCAGTCATTCATTTATCATAAATGCTTAAAAATTTGTTTCATTCCAACAATCTTCCTTTTTCAACTTTTAAACTATATCGTTAATCATGTAAAATTATAAAGTAATATTTTTATGTGCCATTTAAATCTGATTTAGATAGCAGCTAGGCAGTTCAATGATGTTTCCCAATATATTTAAATCTGCCTAAATACCACTTGATTAGGAAATCATTCAAAACAAAACATAAACATTTATATAGTATTTATTTATAAATACATATATAACTAGACTAACCAAAATAAATGGTCCTAATTTACTATTAGAGCTCATTTAAAAACAAATCTGATAAAGCAACATATATATATAATATACATGTCACTAGTAGGTCAAAGATAAGATGTCTTACTGATACTGATATTTGGTATGATCTTCTGAAAAGATGCTCGGGAGGCTCCTCACTTCACGTTCCTTTCTCTATCCGAACCTACGCATGTAAATCATCACGCGTTAAGTGAAAACTTATTGAGGCATTAACATAACTAAAGCGAGATAAAACATAAATTTCATAAAGTATTATAAACATAAATCTGTAATTTAAACAAAAACATTATAACTTTCAAACCGACTATTAAAGATGTTATCCTCTTGAAAACCTGAAAATCACAATCTCACGATTTTATCAAAAATCATGTAAATAAACATCAGATATAACAAACATTTCATATTGTTTTCATTCGTACAAATTTCATAACTTTAATTTCATTTCTATATTCTTGTAACATCCCAAACTACGGGTTAGTGACTAAATTGTAAAATTTCAGAATCTGGTGATTAAAGTATAATAGTTTATTAGTTCAATGATTTACTTGGAAATATTTCCAGAAAGTTGTTAGTAATTATTAAAAGAATTAAAGAGAAAAATGGTCATTTGACATGAAAGATTTTTATTTCCCTTATAAGATAAGGGAAACACGTGGAATCCATTTTGATTCCACACAATTATTTCATCTTCTTCTTCTTCTTCTTCTTCTTCATCAAACGAGAGAAAGGGATCCAAGCTTGCAAAGGTAATTTTTTTAATTAGTTGATTATTTGTTGATTTAAAGTTTGAGTTTTGATCATTAGATGATAACTAAGCTTAAGGAAAGCTTAAGTTATCTTAAAATCAAAAGATAAAGGAGTTAGGGAAGATTAAAGATTTGAAGTTCTTGAGTGAAATTTGGAAATAGAGTTTATAATAAGAATTGAAAGTTGGATTTGACTTGTCATCAACCTAATTAAGGAATATGTAGTATTAGAATTGGATTTAAAACATGTTAAAAATTGGGTATTATTCTTGAAGTTCATAAAAATGAGAGGATATTAAGGTTAAAGAGGAGATAAATGAATATAAATAAGTTTAAACATGTGTATGTGAGTTAAGAACA